AACACAACATTCCAGACTATTCACTAGGTAAAAGCGATTTGTCATCTCCATAACCCATGCCCAGTGGTAAGTGATTTCTAGCCCTTAAAGTGGGCTACCCACGCTAATTCCCATCCTAATGTTGCATCTAATCAGGGCTGGTGAGACAGAGAAGGTGGGTGCAAGGACAGGTGAAGAGAAGCACAGTCTGGCTAAGATACATAGCACAGCCAGCCAGCCACATACACCTAGCGCAGAACCAAGATCTTTATAGCAATAGAATTCTACCTTTGTGCTTGACCAGCCACATACCAGATGGAAATTAAAAAACCTGGGAAGTGCTTACGTAATTTCTCCAAGATCTCCTCATCAGACATTTTAGGCTTCTTCTTCTGCTTCTCAGTATTCCGGGTCAGAGCATCTGGCGGAGTGGTATTATTCTCAGTAGGTGAAATGGGAGATGTAGCCACATCCCGAGTTGGAGTAATAGGAAGTGGTTCAATCACGGACCGTGTGTATACCTGCATTGTTGGTGCAAAAATTTGGCAAGGCCAGTCTCTCTTAGATGTGTGTGTTAGAACATCCACAGAAGAACAAATCCCAGTAAACTCATCCCTTCTCCTAGGTCAAAATCTATGTTACTCTTCCTCTATACTCAGGCTGTGAGGATGGAATGGCCTTCCTTGCTCTCACTATACACAACAAGGGTTAGTGAGAGTCTGAGCACTTAAGATATTCAGTACAAGTTAGACAACTCTCATTATAAATAGTTTAAAGGACATTCTGTCATTAGATGGGAATCCCCTTCATCTGTAAAATTCTATTCTTTCCCAAGCTGAAATGAATATCCTGTATTCCCATAGTACTTTCCACGGCTAATACAACACAACATTATCTTCATTTGAGTTACTGCCTCTTTAAATCCTGAACCCTCACAGAGAAGGAACTGCAATTGTTCTTCTTTAAGAGGCAGTAACAGTGTAGTCATTTAGATCACAGACTCTGGAACCTGACTGACTGGACTTAAATCCCAACTCTTATTCTTTTTTTTGTGTGTGTGTGTGTGTGGTACTTGGGCCTCTCACTGCTGTGGCCTCTCCCGTTGCGGAGCACAGGCTCCGGATGTGCAGGCTCAGCGGTCATGGCCCACGGGCCCAGCCGCTCCGCGGCATGTGGGATCTTCCCGGACCGGGGCACGAACCCATGTCCCCTGCATCGGCAGGCGGACTCTCAACCACTGTGCCACCAGGGAAGCCCCCAACTCTTATTCTTACCTTGTATGACTTTGGGCAGATTATTTAACTTCTCTATGCTTTAGTTTCCTCATTTGTAAAATGGTGATGTTAGTGATACCTATCTTATAGAGCTGCTGTGGTAATAAATTAATTAATGTGTGAAATGAGTAATATCACACCCAAAAGACACTAAGCTTTCAAATTTTGGCAAATATTATTATATTTCCTATTCATTCATTTACTTAATAAACATTTACTGAGAATCTATTCTTTGCCTTGCTGTACAAAATGCTGCCCCATCCACTATTCCTGTGAAGGAAGTCTTGGAGAAAGTCCTAACTGCAAGGCAAAAGGGATAAATGTCAGAAGATACGAGCAAACTGTATACTATTAATGTACAGAAGAGGTGATCATACCTTATACTGCCTTTCCTCAGGAGATGCACCAAGGCATTTATCACCTTTTTTCATAAAAATATCACAATTATTTGGTTAGTCTATAAGCTCTATGAAGACAGGGAATCTGTGTCATTCATCCCTGAGCTCCTATATCTAACCAGTTGCCTAACAGAAAGCAAGCATTCAGGAAAATGTTTGATGAATTGATAAATAAATAAATAGGATTCCTCAGCTGGATTGAAGGATGGACATGATTTTAATAGGTAGAAAAGGGAGAGAACTTTCCACATTGTGGAAAGAGCAATAAGTCAAGACACAGATCAGAGACTACAGCTTCTTTCCTGACTATTCCAGCATAATGATTTCTTAATTTTCTATTCTTGTACATGTAGACAAACTATATCCCTGGCACCTAAACCTGTACTTTCATGCCTTCTCCTCCTCCTTTAGTTTTCTTGACATGCCTCCTTAAGGGCACAAACCCTGCTTTTTCCTTCTCTAAAATTCTCTTTTTCTGGCTCCCAGCACAGGTCTGCTCACATAAAAAGGCCACTGTGCTATGCTGGAATACAACCTGGACCTGGGGTCAATTACCTGCTTTCAGTTCTAACTCTTTTGCTTACTTAGAGACTTTGGGTAGATCAATTAACCTCTCCAAATCTCAGCTTCTTCTACAAATTAGGAATTAACAATGTCTTTTTAGAAAGGAATGCTATCAAGATCAAATTTATCAATTCATTCAATACTAACTGCCTTTCTAAAACCTTCCAAGAGCTATGTTAAGCACTGCAAATACATACATATATATATATGTATTTGCATATATATGTGTATGTATATGTATATGTGTGTGTATACACACACACACACACACACACACACACACACACACACACACACACACAGGAGTTCGTGGTTTAGTGGGAAAAATTTTTAAATGAACATACTTGCAAAACAAAAAAACATACCAATATGAGACATCCTGAGAACTCTCCAATTTTGAAGCTCATTTTCCTTAAAGTGACTTTGTAGTCTACAGAAAGGGTGATTCCACAGATTCTGCTTATAAATTCTAATCCTAAAAGGTCATCTAATCCCCCTGAATTTCCTCCACAGCATCTCCATAGTCAGTCAACCAACATCTGCTTGAACACTTCCACGAATTCTCTAATCCAGAGACAATCTTTATTTGTATTATCACAGAGTTTAAGCCCTAGATCATTCTTTAATTATGAAGCTCTTGTCATAATAAAAAGTCCAAACAAAGAAACACTAGTAGAGTATCATCTGATGAGAGATCAGTGCTCAATGATGCTAAATCATGTAAAAGGCAGATTGTGCCAAGTGAGGGCAGAGGGACCTGGCTATTCAGAGATGCAAGAACCTCAAAAGAAGTTAAATAAAAATCACTGCCAATATCCAGCATCAAAATGCACTCCTGGGCTCCCCTGGTGGCGCAGTGGTTGAGAGTCTGCCTGCCGATGCAGGGGACACGGGTTCGTGCTCCGGTCTAGGAGGATCCCACATGCTGCGGAGCGGCTGGGCCCGTGAGCCATGGCCGCTGAGCCTGCGCTTCCGGAGCCTGTGCTCCGCAATGGGAGAGGCCAGGGTGGTGAGAGGCCCGCGTACTGCAAAAAAAAAAAAAAAAAAAAAAAGCTCCCCTGATGTCCAGCATATTAATAGCACTAACGTTTTTATAAATTCTCTTGAGTCTTACAGTATCATCAATGATGTACTAAGAGACTGAACACTGCACATTTAACAGAGAAGAAAAGATCTACAGCAGACTAATATGTTGCTTCCTAGGAGACTGGAATAATTTATGTTAGTCTTGCACTAAGTAACATTAATTCTATATATCTTTCTGTATGTGAAGAACAGGCTAAGTAAATTAGGCCTAAGTTGGTACAAAGACCAATTATCTAGGACACTTTGGGACTATGTGCAAACTAATGATAAATAGATACACCACTTCTTGTCTTTAATCATACAGAAAATACCTTTCAATCAAGGTAATTTGGTGATTTCATCAAAATCTAAGGACCGCTACCAGATTATTAAACCTCTAGGCCTCAGCACCCACCCCTCACTCCCCCTCCAAACTCTAATAAATCACAAAGCTGCCCACGTCCCCAAAGACTCACAGATTTTGTGTGCTCTGGACGTGGAGCAATCACTGGAGGTGGGGTAGCATCATCATCATCATCTTCATCTTCTGAAACTGGTAGCACTGCAGGGGTCTCAGACACCGTCTTCACGTTCTGCACAGTGGAGAAAAGCCAGATTCATCATGTCCAGCTGACATGCAACTTAAGCTACCAGAGTCACCAATCTCCCAGAAGAAACCTTCTCCTGACACTCCTTCTGAAACACCTTCTCCTGACACTCCTTCTGAAACACACATCAGCCTCAAGATCTCCACCTTTTTGTAGCCAGTCTCAGGAACTCAGCCACCCTCCCTCTCTTCTTTTAGATACCACTTCCCACTCAGGCCCTTGGGGGCTTCCTTCTCCCACCCAAAGCCTAACTGTGGATGGGGAAACCAGCTTACAGCTTCTCTACGTGCCTAGCCCAATCCAAACCCTGAACACAAGATCATAGTTCCTTCTTCTTCTATGAATTTTACTCTCTATGCTAAAGAGAGGATAAAGTACAAAATGCAGGGGAGGGATCAAAAGTTTCGGATTTCACAAAGTTTATCATTGTAATTCCTTAGTCCTTTCTGATACGATAAGTGGAAGTCCTGAGAGGCCTTTCCCTCTCCTTTTCCTTTCTTTATGAAAACCTATTGCAACCATTATGCCATCAGGTGCCCTCGCCTCAACCTGAAGATACAGAACATCCGGAGACCCTTGTCTCAAGAAGACAACGAGTTTTTCCCATATTGGATGCTATCTATTTCACTAAGCTTTTGCCCTGTCCTGGAATGAACCTTACCAGCACCACTAATTGAATATGCTATAATCTCAGCAACTTGATTTCCCCATGTAAACTGTACCAAAGCTGGGCTAAGACTGGCAGGTTTTAGGGCAGGTCCAGGCAAAAATATCATACCATTAATGTTTATAACACATATTCAAGAGACAAAATAGCTCCCAAACCAGTCCCCTCCATCAGGAAGCCTACACAACCCACTGAACCAACCTTACCCACTGGGGGTAGACACCAAAAACAATGGGAACTATAAACCTGCAGCCTGTGAAAAGCAGACCCCAAACACAGTAAGTTAAGCAAAATGAGAAGACAGAGAAACACACAGCAGATGAAGGAGCAAGGTAAAAACCCACCAGACCTAACAAATGAAGACGAAATAGGCAGTCTACCTGAAAAAGAATTCAGAGTAATGAGAGTAAAGATGATCCAAAATCTTGGAAATAGAATGGAGAAAATACAAGAAACATTTAACAAGGACTAGAAGAACTAAAGAGCAAACAAACAATGATGAACAACAAAATAAATGAAATTAAAAATTTTCTAGAAGGAATCAGTAGCACAATAACTGAGGCAGAAGAACAGATAAGTGACCTGGAAGATAAAATAATGGAAATAACTACTGCAGAGCAGAATAAAGAAAAAAGAATGAAAAGAATTTAAGATAGTCTCAGAGACATCTGGGAAAACATTTATCACACCACATTCGAACTATAGAGGGCCCAGATGAAGAAGAAAAAAAGAAAGGGTCTGAAAAAATCTTTGAAAAGATTATAGTTGAAAACTTCCCTAATATGGGAAAGGAAATAGTCAGTCAAGCCCAGGAAGCACAGAGAGTCCCATACAAGACAAATGCAAGGAGAAACAGGCCAAGATACATATTAATCAAACCAGCAAAAATTAAATACAAAGAGAAAATAGTAAAAGCAGCAAGGGAAAAACAACTAATAACGTACAAGGGAATGTCCATAAGGTTAACGGGTGATCTTTCAGCAGAAACTCTGCAAGCCAGAGGCAGTGGCAGGACATATTTAAAGTGATGAAAGGGAAAAACCTACAACCAAGATTACTCTACCTAGCAGGGATCTAATTCAGATTCGACAGAGAAATTAAAACCTTTACAGAGAAGCAAAAGCTGAGAGAGTTCAGCACCACCAAACCAGCTTTACAACAAATGCTAAAGGAACTTCTCTAGGCAGGAAACACAAGAGAAGGAAAAGACCTACAATAACAAACCCAAAACAATTAAGAAAATGGTAAAAGAACATACATCGATAATTACCTTAGGGGTAAACAGATTAAATGCTCCAACCAAAAGACAAAGACTGGCTGAATGGATACAAAAACAAGACCCATATATATGCTGTACACAAGAGACCCACTTCAGACCTAGGGACACATACAGACTGCAAGTGAGGGGATAGAAAAAGATATTCTATGCAAATGGAAATCAAGAGAAAGCTGGAGCAGCAATTCTCATATCAGACAAAATAGACTTTGAAATAAAGACTATTACAAAAGACAAGGAAGGACACTACATAATGGTGAAGGGATCAATACAAGAAGAAGATATAACAATTGTAAATATTTATGTAACCAACATAGGAGCACCTCAATATATAAGGCAAATACGAACAGCCATAAAAGGGGAAATTGACAGTAACACAATCATAGTAGAGGACCTTAACACACCACTTTCACCAATGGACAGATCATCCAAAACGAAAATAAATAAAGAAACACAAGCTTTAAATGACACATTAAACAAGATGGACTTAACTGATATTTATAGGACATTCCATCCAAAAACAACAGAAAACACATTCTTCACAAGTGCTCATGGAACATATCCAGGATAGATCATATCTTGGGTCACAAATCAAGCCTTGGTAAATTTAAGAAAACTGAAATCATATCAAGTATCTTTTCTGACCACAAGGCTATGAGACTAGTTATCAATTACAGGAAAAAATCTGTAAAAAATACAAACACATGGAGGCTAAACAATACACTACTAAATAACCAAGAGGTCACTGAAGAAACCGCAGAGGAATTCAAAAAATACCTAGAAATAAATGACAATGAAAACACAATGACCCAAAACCTATGGGATGCAGCAAAAGCAGTTCTAAGAGGGAAGTTTATAGCAATACAATCCTACCTCAAGAAACAAGAAACATCTCAAATAAACAGCCTAACCTTACACCTAAAGCAGTTAGAGAAAGAAGAACAAAAAAACACCCAGTGTTAGTAGAAAGAAAGAAATCATAAAGATCAGATCAGAAATAAATGAAATAGAATGAAGGAAACAACAGCAAAGATCAATAAAACTAAAATCTGGTTCTTTGAGAAGATAAACAAAATTGATAAACCATTAGCCAGACTCAGCAAGAAAAAAAGGGAGTGGACTCAAATCAATAGAATTAGAAATGAAAAAGGAAAAGTAACAACTGACACTGCAGAAATACAAAGGATCATGAGAGATTACTACAAGCAACTATATGCCAAAAAAATGGACAATCTGGAAGAAATGGACAAACTGTTAGAAAAGCACAACCTTCCGAGACTGAACCAGGAAGAAACAGAAAATATAAACAGACCAATCACAAGCATTGAAAGTGAGACTCTGATTAAAAATCTTCCAACAAACAAAAGCCCCGGACCAGATGGCTTCACAGGCGAATTCTCTCAAAAATTTAGAGAAGAGCTAACACCTATCCTTCTCAAACTCTTCCAAAATATAGCAGAGGGAGGAACACTCCAAAACTCCTTCTATGAGACCACCATCACCCTGATACCAAAACCAGACAAGGATGTCACAAAGAAAGAAAACTACAGGCCAATATCACTGATGAATATAGATTCAAAAATCCTCAACAAAATACTAGCAAACAGAATCCAACACCACATTAAAAGGATCATACACCATGATCAAGTGGCATTTATCCCAGGAATGCAAGGATTCTTCAATATACACAAATCAATCAATGTGATATACCACATTAACAAATTGAAGGATAAAAACCATATGATCATCTCAATAGATGCAGAAAAAGCTTTTGACAAAATTCAACACTCATTTATGATAAAAACCATCCAAAAGTAGGCATAGAGGGAACTTTCCTCAACATAATAAAGGCCATATATGACAAACCCAAAGTCAACATCGTTCTCAATGGTGGAAAAACTAAAACCATTTCCACTAAGATGAAGAACAAGACAAGGTGGTCCACTCTCACCACTATTATTCAATATAGTCTTGAAAGTTTTAGCCACAGCAATCAGAGAAGAAAAAGAAATAAAAGGAATCCAAATCAGAAAAGAAGAAGTAAAGCCGTCACTGTTTGCAGATGACATGATACTATACACAGAGATCCTAAAGATGCTACCAGAAAACTACTAGAGCTAATCAATGAATTTGGTAAAGTAGCAGGATACAAAATTAATGCACAGAAATCTCTTGCATTCCTATACACTAATGATGAAAAATCTGAAGGAGAAATTAAGGAAACACTCCCATTTACCACTTCAACAAAAGAATAAAATGCCTAGGAATAAACCTACCTAAGGTGACAAAAGACCTGTATGCAGAAAACTATAAGACACTGATGAAAAAAATTAAAGATGATACAAACAGATGGAGAGATATACCATGTTTTTGGATTGGAAGATTCAACTTCATGAAAATGACTATACTACCCAAAGCAATCTATAGATTCAATGCAATCCCTATCAAACTATCAATGGCATTTTTCAGGGAACTAGAACAAAAAATTGCACAATTTGTATGGAAACACAAAAGACCCCGAAGAGCCAAAGCTATCTTGAGATAGAAAAGCGAAGTTGGAGGAATCAGGCTCCCTGACTTCAGACTATACTACAAAGCTACAGTAAACAAGACAGTATGGTACTGGCACAAAAACAGAAATATAGATCAATGGAACAGGATAGAAAGCCCAGAGATAAACCCATGCACACATGGTCACCTTATTTTCGATAAAGGAGGCAAGAATATACAATGGAGAAAAGACAGCCTCTTCAGTAAGTGGCGCTTGGGAAAACTGGACAGCTACATGTAAAAGAATGAAATTAGAACACTCCCTAACACCATACACAAAAATAAACTCCAAATGGATTAAAGACCTAAATGTAAGGCCAGGCACTATAAAACCCTGAGAGAAAAACAAGCAGAACACTCTATGACATAAATCACATCAAGATCCTTTTTGACCCACCTCCTAGAGAAATGGAAATAACAAAAATAAACAAATGGGACCTAATGAAACTTCAAAGCTTTTGCACAGCAAAGGAAACCATAAACAAGACCAAAAGACAACCCTCAGAATGGGAGAAAATATTTGCAAATAAAGCAACTAACAAAGGATTAATCTCCAAAATTTACAAGTAGCTCATGCAGCTCAATAACAAAAAAAACAAACAACCCAATCGAAAAATGGGCAGAAGACCTAAATAGACATTTCTCCAAAGAAGACATACAGATGGCCAAGAAGCACATGAAAAGCCGCTCAACATCACTAATTATTAGAGAAACGCAAATCAAAACTACAATTAGATAGCATCTCATACCAGTCAGAATGGCCATCATCAAAAAATCTAGAAACAATAAATGCTGGAGAGGGTGTGGAGAAAAGGGAACACTCTTGCACTGCTGGTGGGAATGTGAATTGGTTCAGCCACTATGGAGAACAGTATGGAGGTTCCTTAAAAAACTACAAATAGAACTACCATATGACCCAGCAATCCCACTACTAGGTATATACCCTGAGGAAACCAGAATTCAGAAAGAGTCATGTACCAAAATGTTCATTGCAGCTCTATTTACAATAGCCCGGAGATGGAAACAACCTAAGTGCCCGCTACTAAGCCATAAAAAGAAACGAAATTGAGTTATCTGTAGTGCGGTGAACGGACCTAGAGTATGTCATAGAGAGTGAAGTAAGTGAGAAAGAGAAAAACAAATACCGTACGCTGACACATATATATGGAGTCTAAAAAAAAAAATGGTTCTGAAGAACCTAGGGGCAGGCCAGGAATAAAGTCGCAGACGTAGAGAATGGACTTGAGGACACGGGGAGGGGGCAGGGTAAGCTGGGATGAAGTGAGAGAGTGGCATGGACTTATATATACTACCAAATGTAAAATAGTTAGCTAGTGGGAAGCAGCCACATTGCACAGGGAGGTCAGATCAGTGCTTTGTGACCCCCTAGGGGGTGGGATAGGGAGGGTGGGAGTGAGATGCAAGAGGGAGGAGATATGGGGATATATGTATATGTATAGCTGACTCACTTATAAAGCAGAAACTAACACACCATAGTAAAGCAATTATACTCCAATAAAGATGTTTAAAAAAATTAAAATTAAATTAAACTAAATACTTCCTTAGCTCCAGCACAGAGTCCAAGTTCTTTCACCTGACATGACGGATCCTTAACAACTTGGCTTTTGTTCATGCTACCTCACACAAGAAAGCATTGATTGCCCTTTTCTCTGGCTGGTATCATTGCCTATGTTTACCTGAAACTGTATTATCAATCCTTGTTTACGTGTTCTGATTCCTCACTAAACCGTGAGATCAAGAGCAATGACCTTACCTGCCCAAAGAGCCTATCACATAATAGGTGATCATTTTATAAATGAGAATTCAGGCACTTAAGTGCTATGTAATCTGGGAGATATATCTCAGACCAATGAGCCACAAATAAAAGAATTTTCGAGCTAGAAGAAACCTTAAAGGTTATGTTTATTAAATGAACAAATTGTACGGCTCAAGAACCTTGTGCAAACTGTTCTGTACTACCAAGCAGAATAAATCACTCCAACAAATATGACCCCCATGGTACATTATTCATGTACCCCTCTTGCAGCCCTTATCCTTCTATTCTGTTGTTAATTTTTTCTCAAGGACTAAGATAGTGTAAAATTTATCTGTGTATCACTAACACCTGGGCACAAAGAAAGTGCTAAGTAAATATCTATGGTATGAATGTATAAATGAATGCTGAGGATAACTGAATTTTGTATTGGTTTCTACTACTAACTCATTCAAGGATAGAGAGCAAGTCACATAATCTCTCTGAGTCACAATTTCTTAACTTGTGTCATGGAAGTTATAATCTCATCCAATTATTTCCCAAATCAATCGGAAAGATCTGTGTGAAACCAATATGGAAAACAATGCCATACTACTACAGTACAAACCATATCCCCCATGTGAAACTAGTAAGAAAATAAAGAGGACTGAGCCACAGGGAAAATTCTGAGTTGGGGGAGAAAAATGTCCTTTACAGCCTGGTAAACCAGTACAGGATTTTACCAAGCAGGTGTCATCCTCTCTGCTATATGGCATGAGCCCCAGGGCCCCTCCTCCTCACTAAGGAGCAACAGAGCTAAGGCTTTACTGCAGTCTCCTTTATAAGACCTCTCTGACATTTTCTTTCTCAGTTCCCTGCCACAGTGAAAAGAATCCAGGACAGGGACTCAGACGACCCTAGTTCTAATCTGGTTGTGCCACAATAGCAATTATGAGCCTTCAGGAAAGTCTGTTTTCCTACCTGTGAAGTGGGGATGCTAATCTCTTCACTAAGTAATTGTGAGGACTAATTATGCTAACATACATAAAGTTACTAGCACAGTGCCTGGCATATATTAGCTACACGATAAATAATAGCTGTTACTCCTCCTTATAAAGGCATAAAGACATTTGTGCCACAAGGCACAGCTCAGCTTTGGTTAAGGCCCCTTCTTCAATAATTTGCAGTTCAATAATGGGGAGAAACTCCCAAGGATCTTAACATTAGCAAATTCTTCCCCACCTTTTAATTGTATCTATTCCATTTGATGAAAGAATGAATCAGGGGAAAGCGATGCAGACTGGGAATCAGATACCTACTGCCATTAACCCTTCTCAATTTCAGTTTTATCATCGATTATACAAGGATAATAACCTACCTCATTAAACTCCTATGAAGATTAAAAGAGGTAGTGAATAAGAAAGGATTCAGTATGCTACAAGGCAATGGACATGTGAACATTTTTTATCATTGATTACAGTATAAATGACTCAGAATAAACCAATCCCCTTTGCTGGAAGCAGGATTCAAAGTATTTGGATGGTGACTCAGTATTGTGCTAGAATGTATGACTCCCCCACTTAAAATTCTTCAATAGCTTCTCATTACCTTTAAGATAAAGTTAAAATTCCTACATGATCTGACCTGCCTACCCTCCCCTCCCCACCACCCACCTCTAGTCCCTTCACACTTCACATTCCAATCATAACAAACCACTTGCAGTTCTCTGTACAAGCCTACCTCACGAGCCTCCTTGTCTTGGCACATGCTAATTATTCTGTCGGGAATACGCTTGTCTCTTCATAATTCTTCCCCAAGATAACTAATTCAGCTCAGACTGCACCATCAAGAAGCTTTCTTTATACACCCAACCTTTTATTCAGTAAATTGTTACTTGCCAGATGCCAAGGATCCAGTAATTGACAAGTCAGACATAGCTCCTGACCTCATGAAGTTTTAGCATGCTGCACTGTAACTGTTTGTGCCTTCATGTCACTTACAGGATTGGGAGATTCTTAGGAGTTGGGATAATGTCTGATTCATCCCTATATTGCCACTTCTCCACACAGGACCTGGCACAGAATAGGGGCTTTGCAAATGTTTAGTAAATCAACATGAAATAACCAACTTTGCACAAGAGACAACACTGGATATAAAGAATAGCAGTATTCTAGTATATAAGTTACAGCTTAGTAGTCATAAGACCCTTTCGGATACATAGCATCTCATCTTATAATCTGCCTTGGAAAACAGAATTTGTAAGTTATGAAGGGCAGAGGGACCTTTGAGGTCACCAATGACTCCTATCACATTCCTTCAAGTGATAGGGCATTCACTACAACTTCAGAGGACAGAATGAATGACCTTAAATTAATAGAATCTGCTCCCTTCAACAATTAGCCCTAATCCTGGTTTTGTAGACCCAACCAACCCAAAAGAAAGAATTCTCCTCTAAATGCAGCTATTTGAAGACATCTCCAAGTAAAGTGTATCATTCTCATTTATTGATGAAAAAACTGAAGCTCAGAAAGGCAAACTGGCTTTCCTAAGGGTCAAAGTGAAAACTGAAAATTGAGCCTAGCAGCCAGTTCTTCTGGTTCCAGGGCTAGGATTTCTAGAGCATTCATAAATTAAAGCCGGAAGGGATGCCTATCGTTTATTAAGTCCAATTCCTTTACTCTGAGGCCCAGGGTGGGAAAGTGACCAAGATGAGTAACCCCCAGCCCAGGCTCTGCATCTACCACACTTGACTTGATCCCTAAAAATTCATACCTGCCCATATCAGAATAGAGGAAATAAAGGCTTACCAAAGTGTTAGAAGAATTATAATCCTCAGCTGATTTATCTGCAAAAGGAAAAAGACAAGAGACTCAGTCAGTAAACAATTACAGTTAATCCTTTCTTGAGACCTAAGGAAGCCTATTCACTAAAGCACTTGCCAAGCTCAGAATAATAACAGTGTTACTGGTACTACAGGCCCAACACCATTTTAAACACATTATATACATTACCTCCTCTAATCCTCACTACAGCTCTCAGTACTATTAGTATGCCCACTTTCACAGATTTGGAAACTGATGTTCAGAGAAGAGAAGTAATTTGTCCACAAATTACTGAACACAAAGGTTATTAGGAGTCAAGATTTGAATCCTGGTCTAATTCTAAATACTAGGCTAGAACTATATCCACATCATCAGGCCTCGATGATCAAGGAAATTTCCTGCATTCTAAGAGAAAGGGAAAGAATTCATGGCTGGCATCACCCTGAGCCATCTATAACAAATCATGACCAGCATGTGGCTTTAGCTTTTAGAAAGGCTCCTTCTACATCCATGTCTATTCCCCACAAGGAGAGACAGACTAAGCCTTAGGAAAAGAGATGCATTAGTCATGTCAAGTATAATTAAAGGCAGGGTCTTATTTCTAAGAATAGGTCCAAGCTCCTTCAATCAGATAATCACCATATTTTATTAATTCTGAGACATGTATTTTTTCACATTAACATCTCAGAAAGAGATGTGTCCTACAATCAAAAGTATTTCCTGATTTAATTGGCAGCTTCTTTTTTCTTTAGGGGCATGTAAAATAACAATGCACCTTACAATCAATGATATCTTAGAATTGATAAACTATGAAACAGACCCAATGGAAATCTTAGCAAGAAAATAAGTTTAAAGACCAAGTATTGTGTTTGGATTTATTCTTTAATTCCTAAAAGTCCAAGAAGAAATTGATTTCACCAGTTCACTACCAATGGGAATTAAGGAGAAGAAATATTATATCAAATCCTACATCTTCCTCACCAAGAAACAAGCCCAGAGAATGTCCAAGATCTCAATTCCATCATACATGAAAGTATCAGGTATAGCTTCTTTGGTCCTATGACAAATTATGAACCCATAAACTGTGACAATGTGTTCTTAAAACAAACCCTGAATAGCCAGCTGTACTCTGGATAAATCAATTCAGGATATAGCCTAAACATAATTCACTTGTTTTTCTTGTCCAAAAGCACATTCTATACCAAGTGCAATACCCCCAACCTTATGTACTGCTGGTGTTTCTGAGGACTGGGTATTCTGGTAATAAATATATCTCCACTATATAAAAAATAAGTATGTTTGCTCCTTTTAAATGTGATGTACAATTTCTGTATATAAAAATCAAATTCCATAGCACAGAACGACAGAGCAGAAAGTACTTCCAATCCCTTCATTTTACAAATAAATAAACTAGGGTTCAGAGGAAAAGAAACTGGTTCAAGGTTACATAAATCAGTCGCAAAGTAGGGCTAAAACCCAGAACCTGGCATTGTCAATCTAGTCTAGGCTTTGCTTATCACATTAGCTACTAGTTGGTACAGAAAATAAAGTGATGAAAAGACAGGAAACTTGTACAAAAAACTGGCACGGAGGATTGTGCTTGGGCTTTTAGACAGCAAAGGATTTAAAGGCCCAAGTTGAAAACACACTTCCAACACTGGTATATCACTCAACTGATATGTTGAGGCTCTGTGAATAAGTCACTTAATTTCCCTGAGCCTAATTAATTTCCCTGAGTCTGCAAAATGGGGATAATGCCCTTGTGTTTCCAGTCTCCCAAGGCCGTCATGAGAATCAAATGAGATTGTTTATGTGCAAAGCATATACAAATTGAAGTAGTGTTATCATAATCAACAGTATGAGAAGAAAGGAAACAGGAAAATGAGAGATAGGACATTAAAAATAACTGTGCCATAAACAACAAGGTCATACGTATAATACAGAGAACTATAATCAGTATCCTATGAAAAACCATAATGGAAAAGAATATTTTAAAAAAGAATGTATGTGGGCTTCCCTGGTGGCGCAGTGGTTGAGAGTCCGCCTGCCGATGCAGGGGACACGGGTTTGTGCCCCGGTCTGGGAGGATCCCATGTGCCGCGGAGCGGCTGGGCCCATGAGCCATGGCCACTGAGCCTGCGCGTCCGGAGCCTGTGCTCCACAACGGGAGAGGCCACGACAGTGAGAGGCCCGCGTACCGCAAAAAAA